GATTGTAAACCAGTTGAAACTCTAATGGAGTCAGGCTTGAAATTTTGCAAGGAAAGGACTGGAAATCCAGTAAACAAGGAGACCTACCAAAGGTTAGTTGGGAAGTTGATATACCTTTCACTGACTAGGCTTGATATTGCATACTCGGTGAGCATTGTCAGCCAACATATGAGTGATCCTCGAGAAGAACATTTGGAAGTTGTTAACAGAATCCTAAGGTTCTTGAAGTTTACCCCAGGAGCTGGACTTATATTTAGAAAAAATCAAGACAGAACAGTGAAGGTTTATACGGATGCAAGCTGGGGAGGTGAATTAACTGATAGAAGGTCGGTTAGTGGCTACTGTACCTACGTTTGGGGTAATTTGGTGACTTGGAGAAATAAGAAACAAGTCGTCGTCTCTCGAAGTAGTGCTGAGTCAGATTTTAGAGCAATGGCTCTCGGAATATGTGAAGGAATGTGGATTAAAAGACTACTCACGGAACTAGACTTAGATGACAAGAAGAATTTTTGAGATTTTTAGTGACAGTCAATCAGCTATGAGTATAGCAAAGAACCCAGTGCAGTATGATAGAACGAAACACATTGAGATAGACGTATATTTTATTTAGGAGAAGGTCAACAATGGAGTTGCAAAACTACATTACATTCCAACGAAGAAACAGCTGGCAGATATATTCACCAAAGCCCTTCCACGAGTGACTTTTGATGAGTTGTCATTCAAACTGGGTATATACAACATATATACACCAGTTTGAGGGGGAGTGTAAGTTATGTAAGGTTGTAGGAATTATAGAAATGAGTTGTTCAATTCCTTAAATTTAGAGATTCTGTAATTATTCTTTTTTTTTAATCCCTTGTTTTAAGGGATTACATCTCCTAGGATTAGTATCTTTCCTAACTTAGAGTTTCCTAGTTTAGAGGCATTATTTGCATATAAATATGTAATATGCTCTACTGAATTAAATAAGAAAAAATAATAGACTTGTCTATTTTCTACAGTCTGTTTTCTATATTCTGTTTTATACAGTCTGTTTTCTACATCAGTTTGTTTTCTACATTTTGTTTTATACAGTCTGTTTTCTACCTCTTTCCACTACTATACCTTTTTTGTTGCATCACCAAGTATGTGGTTAGCTTTTATTGGTGTTTCTGCCAGTTCGCACCCCAATTTTCCCGTTTCTTCCAACAAGTCTAGTTTATATTTTTGTTGAGATATGAAGATTCCTTGTTGAGAATGTACTACTTCAATTCCAAGGAAATACTTTAATCTGCCAAGTTCCTTGACTTCGATTTCCTTTACCAGACACTTCTTTAAATCGTCTATTCCTTTCAAGTCATCCCCTATAACTATAATATCATCTACATAAACTAATATAATAGTGTTACTCCCCCTGAATTCGAGTGCTTCATAAATAAGGTGTGATCACTTTGACTTTGCTTATAGCCTAACTTTAGCATTACCTTGGTAAACCTACGAAACCAGACTCTTGTGGATTGTTTTAGTCCATAAAGTGTCTTTTTTAACTTGCACATTACTTGTTTAGTGTTTGAACTGAAACCTGGTGGAACATCCATATATACTTCCTCCTCAAGATCTCCATGTAAGAAGGCGTTTTTTATGTCAAATTGTTCGAGCTTCCACCCTTGACTAGCAGCCAAAGACAATATAATTCTGACAGTATTCATCTCGGCAACCGGAGCAAACGTCTCGAGATAATCTACCCCATAGGTTTAAGAATACCCCTTGGCCACCAACTTTGCTTTGTACCTCTCTAAAGAACCGTCTGATTTGTACTTCCCTGTAAATACCCATCTACACCCAACTGTCTTCTTCCCTTCAAGCAGTGTTACTAAGTCCCATGTCCTGTTCTTTTCAAGAGCTTCCATCTTAATTTGCATTGCATTCTTCCAATTCTCATCTTCTAATGCCTCGGATACATCTTTAGGAATGGTAATAGTGTTTAAGCTAGTAAGGAAAGTCTTGTGGTTATGGGATAAGTTTTCGTAAGACATGAATAGGTACCTCGGGTTTTTTGTGCAGGCTCTTTTCCCTTTTCTAATTGCTATAAGAAATTCGAAATCCCTTTGATCAGTAGGTTCATCAGAGTTTTCAGTAACAATATTTTGATCAAATATGGGTTCGGTAGTTACCTCATTTTGTATAGAAGAGGAGGATGATTGAACCTGCATTGGTGTCTTTCTCCTCAAGTAGATCATCAAAAGAATTATAGTACCCTGAGCCCTTTGCTGAGGTGAAGTAGGATTAGTTGCAGTAGATTTTGTGGGAGTGTGTTGGGACTAATCAAAATATGGTTGTTCAGCAGGCAACCGGTTACTAATCGGTGTGGCTGGAAGGTTAAGAAGTGGTTGGATAAGGAATAGATCTTTGTCCTTATCTTCTTTGAATGAAATCTTACTAATTGGTGTGGCTAGAAGGTCAAGAAGTGGCTGGATAAGGAATAGATCTTTGTCCTTATCTTCTTTGAATGAGATTTCCCCCTGAAGATAAGGAAGAGTGAAGTAGTTTTCCTGTTCTACAAAGGTAACATAAGCTGAAACAAAATATTTTCTTGTAGTACGATGATAGCATTTGTATCCCTTTTGGGTGGAGGAATAGCCCACAAATACACATTTTAAGGCTCTTAGATCAAGTTTTCCCCTGTTGTGAGAGTGTATATGGACAAAGGCAACACAGTCGAATATATTGGGTTTAAGGTTAATGGAGGCAATAAAGTTTGGAAAGAACTAAGGGTGTTCAAATGGGTAATTCAATTAACCGACTGAATCAAATTACCCAAATTCTATTAACCGAAATTTTTCCCCATTAATGTTAACCGAACCATATTTTTTTTCTAAAATTATTTAACCGAACCGAACTAAGTTCAGTTAATTGATCAGTTAACCGAATTAACCAAAATTTATAAATAATATATATTATATATTTAATATTTTTTGGTTTATTCGATTAATTTGATCGATTAATTCGGTAAAAACCGAGTTCAAACACCCCTAAAGCCAAATAATATATATATATATATATAATATAATATTTAATATTTTCGATTAATTCGTTTAATTAACCGATTTCGAACCGATATAACCGAAATCGAAATTTGAAAAAAACATTAACCATTAACAGACCGAACCCAAAATTAACCGACTGATTAACCGACCTAAATTTCGGTTCAGTCGGTTAATTAGGTTTTAACCAAAACAGTGAACACCCCTAGAAAGAACTTGGTGAGGGTTTGAATGGGACTTTGGAAATCGAGGAGTTTTGTGGGTAATCTGTTTATCATATAGGGAACAGTTAAAACAACCTCTCCCCAATAATTTTTTAGAACGTTTTTTTTTGGAACAAGATTGCTCTGGTGACAGCAATAATATGACCAAATTTCATCTTAGTTACTCCGTTCTATTGGGGTGTATTAACACAGGAGGACTCGTGTATAACACATTTTTCTTGAAAATAAGGTGATAGAATCTGGTTGAAGTTATCTCTGGATAAACCAAATCGGAATCTTTTTATTTCAACCCCAAATTGGGTTTTGATCATGGTATAAAAGGTCTTAAAGACAGAGCTTACATTTGACTTTTGTTTTAGGAGAAAGATCTAAGACACTATTGTATAATCGTCAATGAAAGATACAAACCAACGAGCCCCGGATATGTTTGAAACCGTAGATGACCCCCAAATATCACTATGGATGAGACCAAAAGGGTTGGGATTTCTTTTATTGCTTACAGGAAATGAAGTACGCTTATGTTTTGCTATTTAGCAGATGTCACAGTGAAAATTTTCAACACTTAGTTTTTTGAACAGAGAAGGAAACATGAGCTTTATAACTTTAAAGGAATGATTACCAAGGCGAAGATGATGAATCCATATTTGGTCTTTATTGGTTTGGGATTCTGACATTAGGGATAATGGTGAGGAACTCAGGGCATTAATTTGTCCACTGGGATCTTCAAGATAGTATAAGCCGTTGATTTCTTTAGCACGTCCAATCATCCTCCTCGATTTTAGTTCCTGAAAAATACATTGGTTAGGATGGAAGAGAACACAACAGTTAGACTTTGGTGATTTTTTTGGATTGAGATAAGATTGGTGACCAACTTAGGAACATGGAGAACATTTTTTAGAGTGAGGGTTTCACTTATGGTAATATCCCCTTTTCTAGCTAATGTTATAGTTGTGCCATCAGCTACTGTTATTTTCTTATTGCTAGGATAGAGTGTATAGGTGACAAACCAGACTACATGTACTTGTGGAAGAGGATTTTTCCAGACTCCATTTAAGATAATTTTTTCCATTCAGCCTATAAGCTGATTGTATGTTCTACAAATCCTAGTTGAACTAGAGTGATTCCCTTCATTTATTGTGACTTATTGAGCAGTTTCAAAAACTGCTAGTGTCGACTACTTCAACCATGTTAGCACAATGTACTTAAAGGATGATTTTGAGACAAGCAATGGAACAATTGGAAGGGAAAACAATGACTAGAAATGAGCTACACTAGCTCTGATACCATGTTGAAAATAGAGTGATTTGATTATTTATTTCGTAGAAAAGGTACACGGCTATATATACAAACAGTAGCATATCTTAGGAAACTCCTATCCTAGGAAAGTAGCCTATTCTGAGTAAGAATTAAATCCCTTAAACTTAGAGATTGTAAGACTATTTATAAGATCCTAGTTAATTACATAATATTCCTAAATTAGGAATTTACTTTCTGACAGCCACCTATACCCCACCTACCTAATCCTCTTAAAGGTATTGCAGATAATCCTGCTCAAGTTATTTCTTGATGATGAAGTGTCCATATATTCTCCATTATAGTTGGGCTCTTTTTACTGGAATTCATAACAAAGAAATTATGCAAGTACTACCAAACAAGTTGCAAGATATCTGATAAGTGGAAAATAATATGGCTTTGAATAAGATAAAAAAACGTTATAGCACATCAAATGTATATAGGAGTTTGCAGATCTTACCTTCCGCCATGACTTGATTAACTATTTCATCTTTTTCCTTTAAAAGAGCAGCAGCATCACTTTTTTTATTCTGCTCTCTTCGAAGAGTATCCCTTTCTTTAGTCAATGCATAAACCTGGAAAAACATACACCAAGAGAAAAGTTTAAAATACATTATATTTGAGCTAAAAAAGACAACCTTTTCCTAGAATATATGCGCAATTATCACCAGCTTCTATGAAAGCACAATGCATTCACATTGAATTCAAGAAAACAAGGAGAGGAATGCTAGGAACATACCTTCCTTTCAAGTGTTGAAACCCTTTGATGGTATTCCTCTCGCAAAGACTCCATTTCTGCTTCATTGGATTTTCTTTGTTCCAAGCTTTTAGTTGTTATTTACAATCTTTTTTTCATTGTTATTAGGATTGAGACAGTGGGGTATCTTGATAAACATGTAATTTTAACTAGTAATTACTCATCTTTAACTGTAGGATAATTAATCTCAAACAACAAAAGAAAATTGACACTGGTAGAAAGTGATTGGTTTATATTAAGGGGGAAAATGAATGAACACGGTGAGAGATTGCGAGAGTATTTTGGGAACTTTTTTGGTCTATTCCTATGGCACTGAATAGGCATTCGGAGTGGGAGCCCCAAATAGCTATTGAGGCCATATTACTGGTGTAGACATCAATTTTTTCATTTTAAATTTAAATTTATTATTATTATTAAATTATTATTATTATTATTATTATTATTATTATTAAATATTATTTATTAAATATTACAAAGCCCAAAGCTGAGGCCCATATACAAATCCCGGAACACAAACCCCAGGCCCAACTAGAACCGGCCCAGACCAGATGGAAACCCTAAACATTTGGGGTTTCAACTAGGGTTTCTAAACCCTAGCACTGATGCCGCCGCCTCAAGTTTCCAGAAGATCCCAGCTACTGCCTCCAGATGCTTCCAGCTGCCCCACGACGATGACACCTTGCTGCCACGACGCCAATAGAGGATTCCAGAAGGCCATCTGTCCCCCACACGTCGCGGCTATGGGGTGAGTCACCACATAGCTCGGTGACTCACCGAACTTCCCCCTCTGGACCGGTCCGAGCATGGCTCCGTGGTGGCTATAAAAGCCACTGTACCCTGCAAACAAAAAAAACAGAGAGGATGAACCAGAGATAACAGAAACGGGAGCAAGAACCCGAACATACCACAACAGCAAGCCAAACAAAACCCACAGCAACAAATCAAAAAGCAAAGAGAGAATAGAGTGAGAAAACTTACCACCGAGGAAGCTACGCCGTCGTCAGAACCTCCACACGCCGCAAAAGAAATTGAAATACCGAGAGTATTTCTGTAGATCTAGGTAATTACAAGGATTTTTAGAGAAAAAGGACACCGGATTCGTCTTTAGGACGTTCTGATCTTTATTTTGGGAATTTTGAAATTTTCCAGCCACCGACAGCGGTGGCCGGTGGTGGTTGCCGACGCTGGAGCACGGCTGCTGGCCGGTGGTCTCTCTCTCAGTTTTAGAGAGAGTTAAAAATTCCCTCTCAGTTAGAGAGAGAAGAGAGAAAGAAGAAAATGAGATAATGGCCCGAAGGGCCGGCCATTTCAGGGTATTTATACCCCTTCCCAAACGACGCCGTTTTGGGAGGGGTATATCTGTAATTTTGCGCATGGCCAAAACCTTTCCGTAGCCATCCTAGTTTGTAATCCTTGCAATTTATTCACTGAAAGCAATTTTTGATTATTTTAATTTAGTCTTCTAAATTTATTTAATTTTATTTTAGTCCTTAACTATAATTAGGATAAATAATATATTTAGTCCTCAATAATTTTAATATTTTTGTTTTAGTCCCGTATTATGAATTATGGTTAAATTACACTTTTAATGCCCATCTTTTATATATTTCGAATTAGTACTCTAGTTTTATAATTTTACATTTTAATCATTAAATTTTCATTTTTGACTATTATTTTTTAATATTTTACATTTTAATACTATATTTTTAATTCCGTTTATTTTAATCATTATTTGCAATATTATTTTATTATTATTATTATTTATTAATTTAATTATTATTTCATTATTATTATTTTTATTATTTATATAAATATATATATATATATATATATAATAAATAATATTTATTTATATGTTAAAATCCTATATTTCATAAATTACTAATCATATTTTAATATATATTTATTTTTTTCAATATTAAGAAAAGGACTGTCTTAAAGCACCTAGAAGTCCGTTTTCTGATATTTTTACTAAATATCCTATTTTATAAATTATATATTAATTGTTTTAATTATTTATTTATTTTTTTAATATCGAAGAAAGAGTTGTCTTACGGCACCTAGAAGTCCTTTTCTGATATTTCTAAATAAATAAATATTTTATTTATAAATATATAAATTAATATTTTTTCATAATTATAATTTTGAAAAATAGGATTATAAATTAAATATATTTTAAATTTTTAAATTTCTAATAATATAGATAATTTATAATTAAAAAGTACCAATTTTAGGCGTTGTAGGGGTGTTAATCCTTCCCTAAACGTAACCGACCACGAATCCCTTTTTATTATTAAAAAGAACGAATTTTTGGTTAAAACGCAGATCAATTTATCTTTTAATCGATGTTTTCTTAAAAACTCTTTTAAAGGATGATTTTAGGTATTCGACCTACCTGACCCAAAAGGCCGATGGCGACTCCCAAATTATTTTAAAAACCATTTATTCACATCACTTTTCCCGCCAAGTAAAAAATTCGTGCCCGGACGAAAACCGGTTACGACAGCTTGGCGACTCTGCTGGGGAACGGTCAAACTTTAAAACTAATTATTAATTGTCTCTATCAATTAGAAAATTAAAAATTCATATATTTAATTTTTAATTCTTTCTTTTCAAAATTATATATATATATATATATATATATATTTTTTCCATAATATTTATATTATTTTATTAATGTTTTATTTTATTTTTCAGGTATTAAATTTTATTATTTATTGTATGTCAGAGGTTTGAATATTTCTCCTCGCACACAACACTTGCATTGCATAAACATAATCTCTATAACTGAGATTTATCCCTTTTAAGTGGGAGTGAAAGCGACGTCTTCGTGAGAATTTATTCTCCGTGTCAGACCTAGCAAGTAGCTTTCGGGGTTCATATGCTCTATGTCTTCGTGAGAATTTATTCTCTGTGTCAGGCATAGAGAAATGTGTCCCCTTGAATTGAACTCGATCCGCTTAAGTCTGTAATGGACTAGGATTGAGGGTTTGACAGCCCAAGGGGGCATCAACAAGGACAATTCGAGTACCTTTACTCCTAGAACTGAAACTCCGCATATAATAAACCCTAGAAATTCACCTGATCTAAGATAATACTGAACCTCTGTTCATAGGTGTACACAAAAGAGAAATAAGCTCTAGCTTTTAATTTATTTAATTTATTATTTTTTTTCTCTGAATAAATGCCTGCGAACTAGTAATCATGCTGTTAGGTTAATTTTTCCAAACAAAGCATGGAACTAGAAAGCATGAGGTTAGGATATATTATATACCATGATAGATAGAATATTTTCTTTCCATTAATTGGTACTTACCAATTTATTTCCTTTCTCATTTTTATTTTTCATACATTTTGTTTTGTTTTAACTTGTTTATATTGATTTCTTTTGTTTTGTGCCTGCATTACATGATCATGGCATAACCAAAAGGTGTTGACTTGAAAGACTGTTCATCAAATTGGAAAGAAATCGTAAATGGACAAAAAGTTTTATGATCAAACAAAATATAATACGGCCAAGGAAAGACATCCTGAGGAAACTCCGAGGATAGAAGCAAGCAATGCACACAGAGATCCTGTTATATTAATTCCAAAAGTACTCCACAAAGATCCTGCCAGATTGATACCAAAAGCAGTCTATGATAAGAGCATCAGTCAGGGCATTCAGAGTAGTGGAGGTTTTTATGAAGCTCAAGCATGTTATTTGAAGGACTTGAATGACCAAAACAAGAAATTGAGCACAGAAATGAAAACCATGCATAAAGATTTTCAGAAGATCAGTCAAGCCTTTCAAAATGCTGGCCTAGGAAGTACCCCAGAAGAGTGGATCACAGGGGTCACCAAGCTGAAAAAGAACTGCAACATATATGAAGATCTTGTTCAAGAACTTCTTGGACAGAAAGGATCTCTTACAAGGGAAAATGAGCAACTCCGAGAAGTGACACAGAAGATGAAAGAGAATGTCATAGAAGAAGTTGCAGTCCAGACAAGAAATATGGTTCTTAAATGATAGATTTAGCTGACTTTACAAGGAGATGAAACAGACTGAAGACTCAACTTTTGAGCATGAATGGAAACTAACTGGGCTTTGGAGAAGTTAGAAGTGAAAGATATCCCTATATGTAAAGTTTTGTTTGATGTACCGAAACTTTTGTATTCAATGAAATCTGTTCTAAGATGATCACTCTTGAGTAAACACCTTTTCATACATACATTTGTATTTTGCATCCTTGCATTTTTCATTTTTTATTTATACTTTTATGTTTCCTTTTGTATTGCACAATTTACATTTTTATGGTTACATTCACATTTTTATATTTGCATTTTTACGTTCGTATTCATATTTTCATTTTTTTGCGTTTGCATCTTTACATATTTACATTTTGTTTAAAAATATTTTGCATACATTTAAACATGTGGAATAATTCATGGAAGATTCCATGACAGAATTTATGAAATCAAAGTGGAGCTAACTTGGTCTTCCTAAACAAGGATAAGAACCATGAATGAGATTTTAGCAAGGGTTGGTAGAATTGAGAAACTACAAGAGCAATTTATCAAGACTCAACAAAAGATGATTGATCAAGTAAAAAAGTTCCAGGAGGATTCAAAGGAACAACTGACCAAATTGATGGACCTGGTGAATATTATAATCCATGGAGAGAAACCCTTAGAGGATCCTATTGTGAAAGATTTGAATGGGATTATGAATAATGTAGATGATACAATGGAAACAAATGACCAGAACTTTGCCAGGGAATGTGGAAATTCGATAAATCTCTGAAAATCGGGTATGACCCCAGAAGATGAGACAAAGATCAAGTTGAAGAGAAACATAGAAGAAATTTCAGTACCATTGAAGAAAGCTAAACAAAGCAAACATCTAGATCGTAAGTCACAAGGTCTTCAAGAAAGAAAAGAAAATAATTGTAATGTGACAGTGATGTCAGGGGAAATTCTACCCAAGTTTCCTTCAGTTTTATGCAGCAAGTTATATCCTGAGTTACTCAAAGCCCATCTTATTGGCCCATGTCAGGCTAAGCCTTTGTTGCCTCCTT